GTACAAATGCTTCACTCTGGTAGGAAATGCAACGGCATTCTTACACCTCGCGGATTCGAAAAGTCAGGGTCAACGCTTACACGAGTGGAGAAGGGCTGTCAACATGTGCTGGGAAGGGAGGGACGCATTCCCCTCTAAACAGATAAGTTTGAGGGACGGCCTCTGTCGGTAGCTTTGAGCCGTCCACCTTCAGCGGCCACGCTAAAATAATACTACTGCGCTGCGTAGTTTCGTCCACAACTGATTGGGACTGAAGGCCTCATTGGCCAAAGAACAGCACCCCCGAGACCAGTGCGCGGGGCGGCGCCGGCTTGGGCAAACAACCGCGAGGCGGCGCGCTCAACCACGCACGCGTGAGCGCGCTCGCGGCAATAAAAGGCGTGCGCGCCGCGCCGCCTCCAGCCGCCTGCCGTGCACGCGGACGGAGCCCGGCGCACGCGCGCACGTTCACGTCATGCCACGCGAGACGGCCGTCGTTGTTCAAGGTACGAGCAATTGCTGAACGACTATAAACACGTACAAACACACACATGCGCGCGGGGGCGAAACTAAAGGCAGACATCGGTCGTTGACCCTTCCTGAGGAATAATATATTGCAGAAGCTTGAACTCGAGAAGGGCCGAGATTTAATTCGAACTTAAGTATTTGGACCTTAAGGATTTTCCGAGCTTTGAAAAGGTAATACAGTAGATCCCCGATAATCCAAACTAATTAGGTAAATGTACGGATTATCCGAAAAAATACCATACCAGACATAATGCAACGTAACGTAGTGATCCCATTATCACATCGCATAATTAAGCAGATTCAGTTCCTTACAGCAAACGAACATTACTGTTGTTTCAAGTTAATTTAAGTGAAAATAACTGCTGCATAAACCAGTGATATACATCGTCGTTACCAGTGCAATAACCATTTCATTCTGACAACTTGTGTTTCAATTAATAGTTGTTCAGTTCAACAGTCTTTACAAAATCCTTTCTTTACACTACAAATAATCATTTCATTTATTTTGTTTATTTTTCCTATATCCCGAATTTTTTTCGGATTATCCGAAATTTCAGATTTCTGGGGTTTCGATTAGCGAGATTCTACAGCATTATTTATTTTTCGCACATACTACGGTGTTCGGTGGATAAATGAACAAATGTATATATTTCTGTAAAATTTTAATATATTATACTTAGAAATTTAAGTTACGTAATACTAAAGCAAAACTTGACTTCCTCAAAGGTGTGGCTTTACCTGAAAATCACAATTTGTTCACAATTTGCTGAAAGGAACTAGGCAGAAAGAACGCACCTTCTGCCAACACCAGATGACATTCCCATTGAGCGGCTGCGGTGGTTCAGCAGCAACATGGCGGCCTGGAGGTCCTAAGGTTCGAGTCCGGGCGCGCGCACTTTCGACACGCGCTACTTCGCTGGGTTTGATTCCTTGAAGGAGAAGGTTGGCGGCCGGCGGCTCTCATCACCACATCAGACGAATGCAGCAACAGTCCCCAACCAACCTACCGCACACAATCTACCGTCTTTCGTTCTTACCCTCTCCTACATCCTCACACAGACGGCTGCCTACATTCACCGCACTATCAGACAAGTCGGGGGCCCAGAGTGGGCACATGTGCTCCGCTGATGTCTCTATTAGAAAATAGGAATCCAAAATTTCACTTGAAAAATTTCGAGTGTTCTGAAAGTGGGTTGACCCTTTAAAAACATTTAGTTAGCTCTTTATTTGATAAGTTTTAAATGTTATTTCGATCTTTCCTCATTTTATTTTAAAAGACAATTTTTTTTTTAATATATCGACAGAAAGGACTGAAAAATTCTAGTATGACAAAATTGCAACAGGCTGTAATAATAACGAACTTTCTACGTACGTTCAACTTGATATAAAAGTGTTATCTCTACAGATTTAATGACACAATAATTGGCATAACGTTTAGTATGCAGCTTTTGTCAATTTCTTATTCTATTCTGGTGTAGCTAAGATATTATAGAACCAGAAAATCCATTATGTCTAGCAAAAATTGATACTTGTGCTTACTGAAGAACTCTCCAAACTGATATTGAATGTCCTATTAAATAGAATTGGGAATAAACATGGACTCGAGTACCAAAATATAAGTCCACACTCCCATTCTCAAACTTATTCATGTGAGTTCTAAAATTACTTGTATAATTGTATAACAGGTGAAAACTCTAATATTTATTTACAAATAGTACATCAAGTCTAAATGGTTATGACTGATGGTTATGACTGATGACATGATTTGCGTGTACATGATAAATAAGAATACGTACGGCCCAAAATAACATAAATAAACACTTATTTTTTAAAAGAAAAAAATTTTCTCAAACAAACTTTTCAACATAAATACAATGCAAACCGATATGCATCGATCGATACTACGATATTCTTTTATCCCTTTACCTTCCGTCTAACAAATCTAAAATACTATTTGAGTAGATCAACGTCCAACACACAGCGCTCCTCGACTCGTCCTCTCCGTCCACAAAACCCCATCGCAAGAGTGACGGCCTTTTAATCAGCTAATTAACCTCGGCTGCGCTCGTCACGCCCGTGATCATTTCCTCCTTGTTGGGCGACAAAAAGCTGCTAAACTTCTCACAGCCGAATTAAGCTATTTATCGCGCCTCGATTATCAGATATGACAGAGCAACACGGAGGCCGTCCAGTCAATAAGGGCCTCGGCGTTAGGTGATGAATGGAAGTTCAATGAGAAAGCAGAAATTCTTTCCGTTCTGTTTGATTTGGTTTCGAAACCAGAAATTGGAGAAATGATAATGAAACGCAGAGAATTTCACTATCTCACTTGTTTTGGGCCATAACCAGCGCAAGTGAAAACAATAACTGACGCTGAAAATAAGCACATTATTAAACACACTGCAAGTCGTACGCATTCAACGACATTCTACATGCATGTTTACAACAGCATTGAGACAGTTTTCAATTAAAAGAGACAGAGAGGAATATTTACGAACTTTTCATGTCAGTTAATGAGGCAAGACATTATCAGAATGCGCCAGAGGTTCTCTGTGTGCGCACAGACAAAAACGAACCGAAAGTTAATCGAGAAGAGACAATGTCGCCATCTGTGTTTGTAGTGGAACACATTAGACAGAGATCCTCCACACAAAACAATAGGAACAAGAGATTGAGAGAGAGAGAGAGAGAGAGAGAGAGAGAGAGAGAGAAAGAAAGAAAGAAGATCTAAAGAGAGATTGAGAGAGAGAGAGAAAGAAGAGCTAAAGAGAGAGATTGAGAGAGAGAGAGAGAGAGAGAGGGAAAGAAAGAAGAGCTAAAGAGAGAGATTGAGAGAGAGAGGGAAAGAAAGAAAGAAAGTAGAGACTGAGAGAGAGAAAGGAGAGCGAAAGAGAGAGATTGAGAGAGAGAGGGGGGGAGAAAAAAGCGGGAAGGAGAGGGACATAGGGGAGCAGAGGGAAGCAGAGAGACGTCCGTTTTCTGCATTGAAATGAAATGCCATTTGCGACCAGAATCGTAAGAGATTAAGGGAATAAAGTATACAGGAATCGTTTCCCTTTTGTAAGATTATATTTAGTGAGAATTGAAAATGTCTGCTTTATAACTAAAGTTTAGGTTCACAAATATGGGCAATAGCAATGAAAATAATGGCACGAGTTTGATTTAAATAGAAATTAAAAAGATGAAACAAATTTCCTGATCTTCACTTTAAAACAATTTTGAGCTTACTGAAATCCTTAATGATCTAAAATGACCTTCGAATGGAAACACCGAACGAAAAATAGATACTATCTATATGGTTACTTCAATTAAATCACACGTTATGAAGAAATGCACCTTTCAAAGAATGAATAGTAATTGAACATTTTTCCAAAACACGAAGAAAAATTCATTTATAAAAATCGGTTAATTCTATTTGTCGACAACTCTAAGTGGTAGGATTTGGAATAACTGTTTTGCACATTATGGACGATATTTTTGCTAGAATGTTTTTCATCAATTAGATGAAATATGAAATATAAACTTGCTGTTAATAAAAAGGAGTTAATAAAATGTAGACATCAAATTCAATTTCGTTGTCTCCCCACCATTCACAGTGGCGTCGACAGAACTTTTCTCACTTATGCTAAACAGTAGTAATAGTGGCGAATCTAAGCCCGTGCCCCTTCCTCAAGCCAATATTATTTTTAATTCACTCAATTTATTTAAAACAAATGCCTATAGTAAAGATATCATTACATTCAAAACATGATTCCTATTCGATTATATTTGTACATTTTGTACCAATCCAAGAGAACAATTAAGAAAATATTATTTCAACAATATTTAAGAGAGTTTGAAATAAAATAGCACTATCTGCAATTACTTTCCGAATCTGCCCTGACAGTTTAACTTTCGCTTCTGTGTCTTGACAAGAGAAAAGACTATCGTAACCACAGAGTAGCGGCAAAAAGGGAAGGGACCCGCGTAAATGAATTGCCTTCACCACTCACAATTTGTCCTTGCTTTAAAACGAGTAGCTTGTGGCTTCCGCCGAATTAGACGAACAGCAGATAAAAAAATCCTCGAACAAAATTATCACACTATGGTAAAATCCACTGAGAATAGAAAGGCTCATCGCACATCCCAACGCCCCCTCCGTGAAGGGAAATGTGGGCCGCGAACTGCGCCGCCACCGTGGGCGACGTCCCGGCCGCTAGAGACGCAACGCGCCGCGCCCACCGCGGCGACCCGGGCCAGGCCGCGCGCCGTTGCGTTGAAATAACGCAGTCGTTAAACGCACGACGGTGTAGAAGCAGTGCATCAGCCCGTCGTTAGCATAAACCAGCGTTTAATTACAAAATCAAATACGTCAAGCCCGACGCGCGGCGGGCGGCGGGTGTTGAAACAATAGAACAGCGGGCCGCGGCCGGTGCCCGGTCGGTCCGTCAGCCCGCGCAGAACACGTAATTATTAACATTCAATCTGACTGCGAAATCATCGCAATTACTCACCGTTTTGTGTGTGATAGGTTTCCGAGCTCCGCGAGGGCTATCGTCGGCGCGTGGATCGATTCCAGCTGCATCGGGCCCCTTTTGTCGGCCGGGAGCTCTGCAAAATACAGCAATAATTAAAGCTTCTAATGAAAATGTAATAGCCCCAGTTTGCGCACGGCCCGAACAGAGAGGGGTCTATCAAAAAGTAATTACAGAGCCCTGCGAAAACACGGGCTTGTTTTATATTCGCGCGCGGTCAACTGATACTACGGTCCTTTGTGAGAAGACGTGGCCGAGGGAAGCAGGAGAGACGAAGACGTGATGGTCGCTGAAACAATAAAGGGGGAAATTTCAAATGAACAGAAGTGATCGTAAATATCTGCCAATAAGGCAGCGGCTTTGGACGTGATAATCTGTAGAGGAGCATCTGCAGCAAAAAAATGCATCAGGTACACAGCTACTAACGGAAGTAATTTCATGATGCCTTGTATCGAATATCCACTATTTCTCTGATATCCTATTTTGAAATTCTCACACGCACCAGTATATAACAATATTTACCCATAATACCAAAATCATTATTTACCACATAATTTTGTTGTACAATGAAATAATTTAACAATAAAATGTGTGCTGAATCTTTTTAAATCAATGAGATACTTATCATCACACAGATGTGGTTTAATAGAACGAAACAAATAAAAATAAATCAGAATGAAACACCAAAGAAGTAGATTCTTTCAAACAAGGTTGTGCCAACTTTTCCCATATCTAAGGGCCCAGACATGCGTTCATAGATTTAACCTGGACCTTTGTTATTTATGCAATATAGAGAAGTCGGATAAAACCAGACATTTTTACGGTGTCCACAAAATTTAACGACCCACCACGATATTCTATAACAAATATATCGATATTCTATGAAACAAATTATACATCATCTTAAGAATCTTTAATTTTTTTACGTGCGATGATTTAAAGATTCGAAGTTTAAGATTCGTGTACATTGCCGTGTCTTAAAGGAGATTTAATAACAAATCGTGAGTCACGACTCAGTTTCATGAAAATTTTTATAATACTTCCAATCTTACTGAATACCTTCGAAGCAATTTAACAAGTAAAGTCGGACTTCTTTCAGTCCTTTCTGTATTGCCCGGTTCTTTGCTATTAACAAACATCATTTAGTGTGACAAAGTCGGGACTTCATAGATGTTGCCTGACTATCCTTTTGCCAGGACGTAGGTAACTTGTAGTTATCTAAAACATTCTTAGTAAGAGAAATGTTATGCCAAAATGTTAAGTAGAATGAAGGTTTCTCTTTATTTTCTGTCCAAAATTCCTCCTCTCAAAATGCGTAAACTTCATGAATTTGAACATGTCCCTTACATAGAATTAAACACTACGGCCAAACTTCGCAAAATTTTAAACACCGCTCAACGACCAACTTCCGCAAGTTTATGGACCGACTCCTAAAAACCACACAGGCACATGTCGGCGCACTCTTCGCCGCAATATAAAACCCCGCGCGAGACAAATGCGCGGCCAGGCCGCACCTCGGCTGGCGGCCGCCCGCCACGCCACCGTCGCTCCCAGCAGCCCCCGGCTCGCTTGGAGAGAGCTTCTGGGCGCCATTAGAGCTGAAATGTCACAGAAGGTTAATAAATCAAATAACGTAGAAAGTGTAACCGCAAATGGCACAGGCAGTAATTGCATAGGATTTATCCAGCCGCGCCGCCTCGCCGCCCGACCCGCGCGCCGCACAGCCAGCGCGACGACCCGCGCTGCGCCGCTGTTTTTCCTGCGACTAAATGTTCCGCGGGCGCGTGCGGGCGGGGCGGGGCGGGGCGGGCGAGAGAGGGTTCCGCCGCCTGTAGGGGTAGTAGCAGGGAATAGTTAATGGCGCTTGTTTCATTTGTGGTCTCGAAGTTCGTGAGACGGAATGCGTTAATTCCACACAGGCGTAGCTTGTCACAGATGGGGGCACTAAATAATATTTGTCGGCTGGAGCAGAATGCGGTGGCGGCGGCGGGAGTGGGAGAGAGAGGGGTGGAGGGGAAACAATGGTGGGGGTGAAGATGAGGGCCCGACAACGGTGCCAGTCCTATGAAGGAGCGTTGGCGCATGATGAAGGAAAACTGGAAGAGATGAAATTACTAAAAATTAATGTTATAGCCACAATAAGACTTCATAAAAATATGGAATCATTACTTTCAGGACATGTACGAACTAGTAGAACGGAAATAGGAAAGAAAACGTTGCTAAATAAAAACACAAAAAATGTAGCAAGCACACACTAGAACAACAAATAAAATGCTCTCAAACTGCAATCCATTACTGATTGTAACAAAAGAATTGATCTGAAATTTTGAAATAACAGAGTTCATTAACTACAAAAAATCACAACTATCAAAAAGGTTGGTGTTCCATGACACGTGACTGACAAATGATTCATGGCTATGGTCCCTTTCTTGGAGCCTTGCTGTCGCATGGTCGTTCGATGTGTCATAGGCATGACGCACTGAATAAGAGGATTTAGTTGTTACGCACAGTATGAGAAAATGCGATATAACAAAATAACAATTTTCATGTCCATATCGATACATTAATTAGTTTTATATTATCCTCGAGTTCTTAGATATCCAATGAAACCGTAGATACTTCTCACATGGCAGGAGACTACATAGTTTTCTTCCAATTTCTGCGCATATTGGAAATTAGTTAAATAGATTGTAAGAACACAAATGTTAACTCAGCACAAGAAACGTACAGCGGAGGTAGTGTTATAAGTAAGATGTAATCACAACATTGGTCAATATCTCTTGGTTCGTAGGCTTCCGCGGCCGGAGTCAATTAACTCGCGGCACATCCCGGATATCCAAGAATACAATGTCTCTTGGCATCAAAATTATTAAAGCTTTCTTAGTTTTTTCATTGGGTGGAAACAAGAAGAATTTTTTTATGAAAACGGACGGTTTGTCATAATATTGTAATTAGACACGTAATGAAGTTAACATGTAATGAAGACGAATGAGTAAATGAGGAACAATAGCGGGGTTGAACATTGAAGAGTCATAATTATCACCCTTTCGGATAAATGGTGTTTGGACGATGACGACAGTAATGATTTTATCCCTTTCAGACCTGGCTTTTGAAAAAAAATCCTATAGGCCAATTTTTTTTTAGTCTACCTTACTCAAAATTAAAAACCGCTAAACGCAAGTTTGTACAAGAAAAAAGCCTTTAATATAGATTTTCAAGAATCAACACTCGCGATGTGTTCCGGACTGAACGCGAAGAAAGATCGCATTGATGAGGAAAAAAATCCTATCCTGCACAATTGTGTGAGTTGGGACCATACCTATACGTATACAATTGTGTAGGCAGGGTCGGAAAGGGTTTTCCACGAATAGACTTTTTGCCTCGACTCTAATAACTTACGCAATGTAGGACTACTGTAAAGAAGAATAAAAGACCTGTCACAAAGGTGTAGCAGGGCTACCAGCCCAGGGAAGCAACGTAGAAGTGGTAATGGATGCGCTACCGACCTCAAAGGCAGCACGGATGTGCGATAGCTTCCGAGCGGCGGCAGTGCCAGAGCGGGAGGCGGCGAGGGCGGGCGCCTCCGAAAACGCGGGTGCGGGTGCCCGCCCCGCCCCGCCACCCGCCCCGCCCCGCCCCGGCCCCGCCCCCGCCCCCCGCCCCCCCCCCGCCCCGCCCCGCCCCGCCCCGCCCGCCCCGCCCCACCCCGCCCGCCCCCCGCCCCGCCCCGCCCCGCCCCGCCCCCCCCGCCCCGCCCGCGCCCCGCCCCGCCCGCCCCCGCCCGCCCCGCCCCGCCCCCCCGCCCCGCCCCGCCCCGCCCCCCCGCCCGCCCCTCTTCCCCGCTGCGCACGCACGCCGCGCGCAAACTTGACCCGAGGAGCGCGAGGCGCGCGTTCGGCGGGCGGGCGAGCATTAATCGTGAACGAAACCCGCAACATTGCGGCACGCCGCCGCCCGCGAAATCCGGCGCGCATTTCCCCGTTAGCGCTTCAACTCGGGCGCAAGAAAAAACGGCCCGCGGTTGCTGCGTTTGCGCCCGCGGCGACGACGAAGTGCGCGGGCTGGCGGCAGGGCGCGGAGGCCGAGACGTGGGTGTGGGGAAAAGCCAACGGTGAGACAGTGACAGAAAGTGGGTTGAGGTCAGAAACGTAATCGAAATCGTGGGAGGGGGACAAGACGGCGCATTACGAGCCACGGGGTGGGGTGGGATGAGTTGTGAAGTGACGGGACGGGACTGGATGGGATTGGGCGGGATGTGACAGGACTGGACGGGCCAAGGTCAGGGGAAAGGGGCGGAAAGAGAAAAGTGGGGTGAGGTCGAATGGGGCGGGACGCGGCGGGTTGAAACGCCATACAATGGAATGGGACGGAATGGAACAGGATGGACGGGACGGAACGAGACGGACGGGATAGAGCGGGACGGGATGGGACGGGCGGGTTAGAATGGGTGTGAGAGGAGTTTGGATGGCGAAGGTGTACAGTAGGAGGCTGAGCCGGTGGTCAAGGAATCGAGGAAGGGCTGGAGGACGAGGCAGAGGATAGAGTCCACAACCTACTAAAAACGATATTGTAAAGGAGAACAAAAAGGAAACCGAAATAAAGACCGAGGGAGACACCAAGCAGAAGAGAAGATTGATGGAAAGGCTGGAGCAGTATGAAGAGCTGTGCCAGGTCCGAAGACTGGGACTAGGACCGTAACAAAGGCCACGACAGGGAAAATAAATATGGTCGGGATCGCAATCGGACACCGGGGAGAGTAATACAGGATTTTCATGAAGTTGTTATAAACGTATGCATATAATTATCCGTAGTTTCTATATCCTGAACGTCACTTATTTTTCCCCTATTCTAATTTGAATCCATTTCATCTAAAAACTAAAAAAATTAAATGTCATTAAATGTAGAATCCACTTTAGGGAGCTATTAAGGTGACGCGTAATGAGACATTCTTGACTTTCTTGGTCACGTGACAAACGAGTTCATAAGGTCGAAAGGAACTACGTTCAGGCGGGCTTTAGCAATTTTGACATAGCGTTATACATTATAACAAAACAAGCATAGGGTTGGTTGGGGA